TAGGAGCCTTATAGTAGGTCTATATATACCTTATAGAAGCCCTATATACCCTAAACTCCCCACCTGTAGTTTTCTTTAAAAGATTCGAGGTCTTCTCCAACCAGAAGTATCGCTTCTATTTGGGAAGCATTACTTCAGCGCTCAAGTTTGACGAGAGGCAGCGGGAGGGACCAAAGCACATGGAAATTCCTCTGGCGGTCTTGTCGGGTTGCGTCGAGGGAGATTTTCTGCCACCGTGCAAGGTTCAGGGTTTCGATTTGTCCTGTGGAAACTGCTGCTTGAAGCTCCACTGCTACGCCGAAATGGTAAGATCATGCTTTACACCGATAATCCTTGCGGGTCAGAAGCGTGTACACTAGTCTCTCCAAAACCCACGGCTCTAAACCCTAAGCCCTAGACCCTAAACCCTAAACCCCCCTACTGCTCAGATACAAGCTGGACTTTGTCTTTACGATGAACGCAGATGACGTGCGACGGGATGGCGAACCAGAAGACTGGTCCGCCTTCTTTCGCGAGAGGCCCCATCCAACCCAGTGAACCCAATACAAGCTTTTTCCTTAATTGAGGAACCCTAAACCCTAAACCCTAAACCCAATACAAGTTTTTTCCTTAATTGAGGGGTATTGGGTTCTCTAAGAAACGGGCAAAAGGGCGTTTGCTATGGAGGTCGGAAAAGTTAGCAGCATGGTTCCTCAGGGCTCAGAACTGCAAGTATGCTATAAGGTACCCCGCAAACCCTATCCTCCACCTTAAGCTGTTAGGCAAAGAGCTTTACGGCCGGGCGAATTCGGTACAGGGTTTGGGGTAAAGGGGGCTGCACAGTTCCCTTAGAGTAGCCCTAAACCCTAAACCCTTGTAGATCCCGCAAAGCGACCCGAACGAGGAATGTAACGAACTTCCGGTTCGGCGGCTTCGACACCACGGGCGTGGATCCGGGGACGCCAAAGTGGGCGCAGAAGAAGGACCTGGTTTAGGGTTTAAGGTTTAGTTTTTGGGGTTTAGGGTTTAGGGTTTAGGGTCACAAAATGTAGAAGCTTCGAGTTTTGACTGCGGGGTGTAGGGCAAGGGGCCAGGGGGCACTTGAGTTGAAGGTTTTACTGGTTCAGGGTGCAGAACACAGGAATGACTTGAATGGAACATTTTCTGTCGTTCCGGGGTCAGAGTTTGGGGTTGAGGGTATAGGACACTGGAGTTGATTCTAGCCCTTGAGGTAGCGACGAGAAGGGCCCGAATCTCAAATGGCAGATGGGCGAAAGCCAAGCAAAGTACGAGCCTCCCTCCTTGGATAAGGGTGATACGGCTGATGGTATAAATCCTGCATTACCCATCATGAAGGAATCTACCATAATTCCCATTGTTTAGGGTCCTTAAGGAAATGCAGGATGTCTATCATTGTTGAGGGTCCTTAAGGAAATGCAGGATGTCTATCATCAACCGTATTCTCAGAGATTCCACAACCCCTTTATTAAGGAATATCCCTTAGGTTAAGGTTCCTTGTCATGGTTCGAAGGTTTACGGACATCGCTTTTCTAGAGTTCCTTCTATTCCTTTAACAGAAATGTGTCCTAACACCCTGTTTCATTTAGTAAGGCCTCTGTATGAACAGGCATCCGAATATCAGGGCCCCGCGATGAAAGAGTGTATTAAGCGGGGGTTGTTTGGACTTTGTCGTGTTCTGCACACGTGTTTCGAAGTAGGACGTATCGATTGATGGACAAAGACCCGGCTTTCCCCACAAGAAGCAGTTGATGGATCTGATGGGTTACAGACGTCGAGCGGCTAAAGAGCTTGAAGACAGGTTTAGGGGTTTAGGGGTATAGAAGTACTTGAGGTAATGCAGGAGGTTAGGGTTTCAGGGTGCCTAAACCCTACAGTGCAAACCGTAATGGTCTTGCAGTTGTCTTGAAAGTTTGGACTTGTCGGTGGATCCCTGAGCCCTACACCCTAATGTAGATGCATAGATACCAGCACCTTATGAAGCACAGAACCAGCAAACCCTAAAATGAAGCCGTACCGGGTCGAAAGCCCGAAGAAGAGAACAAAAGCAGTGGGGGACAGGGTCTAGGACATTTTCTGGTGGCTAGTTACCGAAATAGGAGCCTTATGGAAGGTCTATATACCTCATAGAAGCCTTATGGAAGCCCTATATACCCTAGTTTTCCTATATGTGTGTATGTTATAGTATACTATAGTATTATAGTTTTGGTACATCATAGCATTTCATAGTATATTTCGAATTTGGAGCTTCGATGGGATTTTGAGTTTAGGCTGTAGTGGTTGAGCCTCCAGGACTTTGGCGTGCAAGAAAACGACAGTTCCAAGTTACCGGTAGTGCTTTCGGCATATCATGGCATTCCTAATGAGTACTAGAGTATTTAAGCCTTGTTGCAGGTACTGCATTTGTTCCTGAGTCCCTTAATCTAGGACATGTTCAGGCAATGTTCAGGTGGGTAGTTACCGTTATAGGAGCCTTTTTAGAAGGACTATATACCTTATAGAAGCCTTATAGAAGCCCTATATACCCTAAACTCCCCACCTGTAGTTTACTTTAACTTAACCCTAAAGGCGGCCTTTAGAGAGTAAGCGGCTTGCCTTCCCACGCTGCAAGGAGGAGTTTCTCCAGATCTGGGCAGCAGTGGTTCAAGCCTTGCAGCAGAACCTAGGTGCCCCAGTAGTACGCTTTTGCCCTTTTTAGTTTGGGGTCCCCTTATTAAAACCGAATAATAAGAAAAAGGCTACCCTTATTATTAAGGGGTTACTGGGGAACCTAGGAACACTTCGGAATCGGAGGACCAGGTCCAGATTCTCTTCCACTGCTATGCTGGCATCAACCGCTCCACAGCGGCGTTGGTTGCTGCACTCATCTCGCTTTCGATGAGCACCGAAGAGGCAATCGAGCACGTCCTCAAGGCACGCGCTGGACAGGAATACTGGGCCAATCGCCGGGATTACTTCATTGAGGCTTTGCTTGAGTTCGAGGCACAATGTGGTGGCCCGGCACCAGCCACCTAGCCAACGTGACCCAAAATGAAGCAGGAGACGGGTGTGTCCCAATCGCTGTGAAGTCAAATCATGCTGGCTTTTCTGAACTTTCGATCGGGCGCAGTCAGCATGCGGGCTCGTGAAAAAAATCTGGCGCATGGGAGTTTTGCAGCGAGTTTTCATCTCCACGGATTCCCGCAGAACTGTCTTCCAGCCGGGCTCTACCACGTGTGAGACTCGTTTGTTCTTGAGAGAAGTTATATGACGTATCTCCCCATAACTAAAAAAAAGTGCAGAACATTGCCGATTACCAACATGGCACTGTCTTCACTTGCTGCACCCACCTGGACCCCAAAATCCTGAACCCTAAACCCTAAACCCTTTTCCCTTAAACCCTAAACCCTAAACCCTTAAACCCTTTTCCCTTAAACTCTAAACCCTTAAACCCTAAACCCTAAACCATAACCGTTCCCTTCCCCCTGCCTCACTGACTTTTTCCTTTGCATCGACCCAAGCTCTCCGAGGAGTTCAGGCCTGGAGCAGACCCCCAAAACCCTTTACTTACCTTTGGTTAGTAGGGAATGGAGGAATGGGAACTATTATAAGTACCATACTCTGCCATTCTTCCATTCCCTACTAACCAAAGGTAGGTTTAAAGCTAGGTTCCTGAGTAGTACCCTTTCGCCCTTTTTATTTTGGGGTCTCCTTGTTCAAACCGAATACTAGGAAAAAGGGTACCCTTATCATTATGGGGTCACTCAAGAACCTAGCTTAAAGAGGCCCGAAGACATCTTCAAAAACCCAACAATGAACCCTAAACCCCACAAGCCCCTCAAAAACAGCTTCCCCTAGCTTTTTCTGACTAAACGCACCACGCAGGAGAATTCCGCGCCGCACGTGGTGCTGACATCTCAAAAACAGCTTCAATCCCAAGAACCCTCAAAAAACCTAAGGTTCCGGTTGGGGCCTCCGCCTGCACGTCGCCGACCCCGGCGCCGCGCGTCCGCACGCTGGGCTTCTGAGATTTGGGCACCTTACCTCGGAGGGTCGGGGAACGTAGCAAGTAGGTACTGAGTACTACTACTAGTAGTACTGCTGCTACTGCTGCTACT